CAATCACATAGTTTTGAGAAATACATTGGTTTCACAAGTGGAAAAAGTTTCAAGTCAATTGAATCAGTAGATGTCACTATAAATTGATTATTCTTATTTTCAAAAATTCCAGAATTTCTTTCTTCTCAAATACTGTAGGAACTATATTCTTCATTCCAAAATTTTGAAACTCTCACAATGTTTGAAGAAATGCTGACCATTTTTAAAGGGATTAAAAGAGTGTCTCATGATAATTTGTGTTTATTCAATTTTAAAACTTTCTGGTGACCCAACAATTCTATTATTTTTGATACACTGCATTGTCATTAATGTTCGACAAGTGTGAGAAATTTTAGCTAGATGGGATATTTGCAAGCGGGTTGAATTTCAGTTGCAAATTTTGCTAAATCTGGATACCCCTTAGACAGACATACAGACATGCACCAAGTCAAGTTGAATATAAGTCTATAACAAGGTTTTACTTTTTAAGATTTTCCAATCTTCCAAAACCGTCCTCCTGTACTCTCAAATATTGCAAACATTTTGAAGAAGTGCACTTTTTAATGAAAAAAAAATCTGGCTCATCTCTGAAATTTTTGTTGAACATTGAGTGAACAGTTTAATATTCAACCAATCATAAAAACTGAGGAGGAGAACAAAGTTTCAAAAAAAAAAAAAGACACACATCTTCTGCAGCATCAATCATGGGTGATTTCCCCCTCAACTCAGTAGAGAGAAAAAAAAACAGGGATTTCCGTTGTTTAATATTTATAGCCCCTCTCAGAGATTCTGTGGGAATCCCCAACGTCGGCGGCCGCGAGGTGGCGCCTCGGTTGCGACCGGCTGCAACAATTATTTCTACTGGTAGAAAGAAATGAGATACCGTTGATGTGCGTATAGGAAAAAGGAGATCGCTTCCAAACGGGTCATTTTCTTTCTTCCCCGTTGGAGAAACGATTCATACATGTTGATGGAATTTACAATACTTAGCTGCCCACAAAGTCTTTCTGACACTGGTGCGGCTAGCTCACGTCAAGGAACCGGGTGTTCTGATGGTCATACTTGCATGATAACGCCTTATAATATTATAGTAATCAGAGGAAAACTAACTTTAAAAAAAAATTCAATGTATTCTATTTACTATTCTTTAGGTTCAGCGAATCCACAAGTAAAAAACTGTTTCGTTGCGATAATTCTGAGGATTGCAAATTACATTCACTGCATTCTGCGGAATTTGTTCAAGTCATGAAAATTCTCCGAATGGGGACCCAGGTTTTCAAAATTGAAACTTTCTGCAAAGGAAGCATCGCAAAAAAGAAAGAAAAACGTTGAATTATTGTTCTGATTCAAAGTATTTAGGCTATAAATGATCCGTCAGACAACACAATATTTTGGCATATTATTATCATTTCTAAAAAAAATTTCGCTATTTCTTAAAAATAAACCTTTTCCTTCTGCTTTCTGCTGAGAAATCTAGATTAAAAAAATTATTGTCATGCGATGTGTCATTATGTTTTGCCTGAAGAAGACCCTTCAATTATTCATGAAGCGCTTTTTTGTTTTTTATTGTTCCATTTACTGCTATGTTACGCATCACCACTTTACTTCACGCACTTCTTCCAGATTTCAGAAGAACTTATAAAGTCAATCATAGTGTTGATGCGGCATTTGGGGCATTCCTTCATTGACTCACAAAATCATGAAAGCTTCGTAGTAGAATAAGGCGATTTAAAATCCTTAGTATTGGCTTCGAAAATCATAAAATTCCATCATGAGACATTTTTAGAAGAGCGTCCCACAAAAATTGCGCAGGCAATATAATTGTATTGTATATCTTGTCACTGAACTAAAACCGTATAAATAAATGTCAAATTTTTTTGCTTTCCAGAGTATTTCTTTTACGTAGACACCTCGTTTTTCATTGCTTACATTCGAAAATAAAATTGACAACTACCACACTCAAGTTTCCAACGTGAATCTGCGAAATCTTAAATTTATTCTCGGCGGCGACCGTGAAAATAATGTAAGAATGGAAATGTCAATGCACTTTTTTTAATTTCATGATGCTGAGTTTATTTCCAAGAATATTTTAGAACGTTGTTGAGTATCATGAAGATTATGACAAATCGATCCGAGAATTAATGAGTCGATGAATTGATTCAAGACAGCCAATTTGAAGCACTAAATGTTGGATATTCCGTACATGGTGCGCATATTTCTGAAATGACACCGACCCTCAGAGTTCAGTACAGTACATAAATGTGATACCTATTTTTTTTATAGATAGATTTGAAAAATGTAGTGAACTTCATTGGAATTTCCTTCCATATACAGTGAAAGAAAATAAATGACACTGCCTTGATACGTACTTGCTCTTTGGTCGAAAAATTCGTTCAAAGTGATCTGTCCCAATTCTTCAAACAACACAAGCAGCAGTGAACGAATCCAGAGCATGTGAGAGGTCAGTCGTGAAGATTCAACGACCCCTCGAAGGTCATCGTCAATAATCATACAGATGAGTTCTCGCACTTATTTTCCCTCACCTATCGTCGCACCTAGATTTTTTTTTTTTCGAGAGTCGCGTTGAGTGAGCACCTGGTATGGCCCTGACTCCGGAACCATTAGCCACAGGGAACTTGTCTTATCGTGTCTTAGGTTCTCATGCCCCGAGGCGAGGGAACGAACCCAACAACACACAGCTCAGGCTCATGGTGAAACCGCAGCTCTCTTCCATTTATGCGCAGCGCCTCGGACCGAGAAGGCGCACTTTCGAACGTGAAAGAGCCTCGGCCAGATCGAGGTTCTCACTCAGTTTCTCCCATTTTTATTTGTTTGAAAATTTTCATTTTAGAAAGGCGTGTCTTCGTGTGTGTGTGTGTGTGTGTGTGGATATTGAGAAGTTTGTAAAGTGCAAAGAATGACAGGTGGTGAATTGCAATTTGACCATCCCGCAATTTAATGGTCAAATCCGCTGGGAGGTTGACTCACAACTTGATCCCTGCTGCGCAATTTGACCTGCAGATAGAGACACGAAACATCAAATACCACGCAGAAAAAAATGCCATTTGACATTGTCTCACAATTCAACCATAGTTCAACAACAGATTAGAGTTGAATTGCAGGGTACCACCTGGACTGTGTCCTTATTGCAAGTTGAATCCCATTTATGATGGAGCAGTGGCTTTTGGGCATTGACAGAACCCTACAAAATAAGGAATGATGATGATGCAGTAGAACAAGTGAAAAAATGGGTAATCATCCCTTTTGTCTGCAGTTTTAAAATCATATTTGCTCATCTTTCTGATGGGAAGATTTCGTTGATGACTTCACGAAAAAGTAACTTCTATTCCTTTGCCTCTTTTTTGGCTGTGTTTTCCTTTCTGTACTTGTGAAAAGGAGAAATTGAATTCATTTATTTGCCAATGGTTCGTTTGACGTTACAGGAAATTATTTCCAGGATATTAGAACCTTGCCATGACATCTCCTGGGAATAAGAATTCGTTCATGGTATGAAGAATAGTATTTTATAGTCATAAATATCTCCAAATAACTCAAATTTACCATATATAAGATGAAAGGAAGCGAAGGATATTTTCTGCAAGTTTTCTGTGCTGGCGTTTGATGATCAGGATCCATTCATATAAATCTCGAGATCACATTTAAAGCAAAAAAATATCTTGATTGAATTTATTGAATACATTTAAACTGTCTTGAAATCGCCAAGAAAAATAAAGATCATGATAATGCCGTTGAAGCAAGGTTATGCAACCGAAAACATTCGGAGAAGTAATTTGCTTCCTTGCACTGTAATTACGAAATCGAGGACGATTTTTTTTAAAAACTGAATCATGATTTCCCTGATTCATCATCCGGAAAAAATTCTTCAAAAATGTTCCGAGGCCTTTTACTTCCAGGGAAATTTTTGGATCCTTTCTACAGTATATAAGCAACGCTTTTTGACGAGTTGCCTCTGCTTCATGGGCACAAGTTTCAACGATGATTTTTTCTTCATAATCAAATATGAATCGACTTCCAACAACATCTTCGGAAGCATCCGAACAGATATGTCGAGAAGCTAATTTTTGATTTTCAAAAATTTCATAGGTTTCCAAAAAATAGTATCGGCAAAGGAGTAAGCTTTTAGTACTGCCAGAGTGAACTTAGTAGCCGTACTTATTAAAAAAAGCTTTATTATGCACGTCATAAAGTTAAAGGTGGCACAGTTCTGTAAATACCAAACTTTAATTCATATCTTACGCATTTAGTATTCTGTGTCGTGAATGCAAAATATTTTCAAGGTTGATCGAATCAATCTACATCCTACCGTATATCATAGCATACAAACCTCAGGATTGGGATTGCCTTATATTTCGTAAAAATGCTTACTTTTAGTGACAGAATAATATTAAAATTCAACTATTGGTCAGATGATGAATAATTGTGTCCTGTATGAGGAGAATAAACCAGGGATTCCTAGTGGGGATCGGTTTCTTTTCTTTTGCATATTTTCAATCTTCATTTTATATTTATTATATTTTATCACACGAAAGATTCATAGTCCGAACACAATACGATGAATACTGTACATTTTTGGCTTTCAAAAGATTTCGTATGCCGGCAATAGTTCAGCAAGGTAAACCGACATGAATTCATTTTCCGTTCGGCTTTAATTGCATTGATGTATCTTAAAAATTAAAAATACTTTAAAGGAAAGGTGAACACTGTAGAGTGTAGAGGAAGGGTGAATCCTTTGATGAGTTAGGAAAAACGTAAACTAATATGCGAAACAAATATAATTAAAAGTTTTCAACGAGTCTCACACTTCGGTAACAAATATTTGAACGCCGAGAAAACTATATGAATGGAGCTGAGCATCAGAAGCGAGCTTATTTTATTTTTTAAATTACAGTATATTCATTCATCATTTCCATGAATTCGCCAAACCCGAAGCAAACGATGACTTGACTAAACGATCATTACATCCGTTATTTTTCTGTTTCGAGAATCGACTTCAAACCTCTGTTTTTTTCGGTATAGGATGTGACTCAGCGATCCCATCAATCAGCTCGACCGAGTGTGACTGTGGGAATTCGAATTTCAAAAGAAAGAAAAAATAAAATAACTGCAATCTAGTTTGATATTTGTCCGTGGCTGACCCCTGTTTCTGAATCGGAAGAAATGGGTACTCAGAACTCGTGGATGGCTTTCTTTGTCCTGGCTGTGCTTAGCTTTTGTATGACCCCTTGCCAAGGAATAAGGGAAGGTGAGTGAACTTCTTTTCGATCCCCTTCACGTAATTACAGGGTGATTCATGCACTACATTGCCAAAAAAAAGTGAATGTATGGAGAGATTCACGAGCACGTAATTGTGCAACATGAGTCAAAGGTACTGATGTGGGAAAGTGTGGCAGAAAGAGGGGGAGAAATTGGGATAATATCCCAGCAAAAAATAGTGTTTTTCGTTGCGAAAAAAATATCTTTTCTCATTTCCAAGAAAATGAAGTCAGATACAATAAAAATTATTTTCCCGAGAATATGTCACTATAGTTTTCCAGGTACCAGTCACAAGTCCTAGGCCCGATATGGCCAAGTTTTTCTTTTCTTTTCAATAGTACCAATAAGTACTGTACTTCCGGTCAACAGGGGGATACTAAAGTTGCCTCCTTTTTTCTTCCAAAAAAATACGCCTTTTTAGATTATTCAGCTTTTTGAGAGTCTGTCCGCATACTTCACCCGGTATGAAGCCATAATTTCAAGTTGTACATGAACAGATTATTCAATGGATTTGATTCTTTTCAATTCCCATTTCTGATTTGATAGGGGATGAATGCGATTTGGAGGAACTGGGTTCAGGCACCAAAGGAGTTTATGTGGAGAGTTCAGCGTGTTCTTGGTACAATGAAACTGTGACGAGTCAGGAGCCGTTTTGTCGGAACCAGTGGCAAAGGAACCCTGTGACGGGTCGGAGGCAACCCGTGTGGAAATGCTGGGTTTGCTGCAGAATCAGCGCATTCAGTGAGTACTGATTGCAAATGCAGTCCAGTGGTTTCTCTTGAAGTTGTGCTTCATGATCATGATGATACTAGTTTGGCCGTGAGAAATGACACAATTTTCAAATTGAAATCAAGTTCACTTTCATCTGTCTTCATTTCATTGGCATGATAAATTCGGAAAAATTGAAACATTTTACACATGCTTTCTTACACAGAATGAGGGGCTTTATTTTCTCACAAATTATGTTATCCCCATTTTACACGCATTTAATTGTCTTGCCAGCAATCAGCCACGAAAACAATTTTCCTGGCTTTATTATGGCAATTTTTCCGCAATGTCTGAGAATCTAGAAATTTTCTGAAAAATAATTTTGAGAAAATAAATGTCGGATGACCAAGTGCAAGACAAATATTCCAGGGGAGACAGAAATGCACTTTTTTTTTTATTCCAATTCACTCGCGGCAAGCATATTATTGACAAATGTCTGCTGCTGTATATGCTCTACTTATTTTTTATCAGTCTAAAATAGAAATCATAGGAAATTTGTGACTACGAAGAAGATACTATAACTTTCGAAAACGCCGAGGTTGATAAACCTTGAATGAAACACAGCCTCAGTTATTCGAGAGACACGATGAATCCCAGATCAAAACTGGACCTAATCTCATCTGGAATATCACCACATAAATTATAAACCCACTTTTTGTGAAGAAAAAATAATCAGAGAACCTGTTTAGTTTAAGGATCTATTTAATGCTTCGAGAGAAGCTTGTTCATGAATTAACTTTACGTCGCAGGTGATCATCTTTTTTTTTTTTTCTTTTTGGCGTCTGTAAACTTTTAAAGTAATTCCCAGTAAAAGGCTTCGTCGTGAGAATAATAAACGTGTCACTGACAATCTTTTCAAGAAGGATAATCTTGTCAACACTAATTTTTCAATAGCCATGACACAATTTTGATTAATAAAAAAGTAACCCGTTTACCTCGTAATTTTAATGAGCGCCACGTCATTTCTCGTCGAATGTAATGCACAGAAAAATTTTGTGAAATTCGGTAACATTGTCTCACTGCATCATTAGGAAACGCTGTTCATCCCTTTCAATAAAATTGTTTTCCATCGTATTTAATCATTCGTGATGCAATATTCGATTATCCAAGCAAAGAAAACCCGTAATTAATTTTTCCGGAATTAAAATTTGGGAAATTATTTTTATTCTCGCAAATGGGCAGCAGCACTACGTTCCTTAGGATTTTTTTTTCCGGCAGAAAAATGTATAAACCGCAAACAATTTTGATATAGTATGTGGCTTATTCGCAGACTATACGTTCAAATTATTCGAAGCGGAAATGTTAATCACAAGTTAATCTTCAGAATTTAGTTAATTTTGATTTCAAAATCAAGTGCATATTCGAGTATGACCAACGAATTGCTGCTTGAAATATGTTCTGAATGGGAAATAGGTCATTGTAGACTGTAATTTTTTGCCGTTTTCAATTAAATTTCATTTGCGAGGAGAGGTGAGACTGATGTGAGGCCTATACAATATAGGCCGCATCCTCATTTGCAAGACATAAAAAATGTGGCCTATTACTCGTGTGCGCAGATAACGTTCGCAAGATCCGGAAATAATCACCCACAATAATTTGATTGTCGCTTCAATGAGGATTTCCTTGTTTGGCAGAATGCAGCGAATATCGCAAGACATGGCAGAAAATGCTGGCTGAGTCCTGTCCCTGTGGAACCCAAAGTTACTGTTGCAGCGCCACGAACCAATTTGAGAAGAAGGGTTCGGACTGTAATGACGGCGTGTCGCCGTTGATTGTCAAGGGAGAAGTCGCTCGAATAGGACAATTTCCGCACGCTGTGAGTACTGGAATCTTTTTTTTTTTTTTTCAAGATTTGAATTATCCGGAATCTCGAGATTAAATCTTTATTTTCTAAAAATGAAAAATAGGTTGCGCTTGGGGAATCCTATGAAAAGAAGAAACGACTCATTGTGTCCTTTTTCTGTGGCGGATCGCTGATTAGCGAGAAATGGGTGTTGACTGCTGCTCACTGCTTCAGTGCCAAGTGAGCTTACAAGTTCATTGTTTTTTTATAACTTGGTTCTTTTCTGAACACGTTTTCTAAGGTTGAATTTCCGTTTCCGGTTATTTAAATTCTAGCGTGAGAGTTTTACCAGAATTATGTTGGCTTTTTTCTTGCTCTTGCTCCGTAGAAGTTGAATTGAAGCATTTACTTGCTCATGCTGAATAAAAAAATTTGAAGCTTCTCCTAATAACTATAACGTTGGTTACTAGCAATCTTAATGACACCAATTTTCAACGCAATTGGACATTTTAAACATTGTTCCTTACAACATTTCATGGGATAATTGCTCGTCTGCTGAAAAATTCGAATAAATATGAAAACTGACTCAAAACGTTTTTAATGATCCGTCAGTTTTGTCCCGATTTTTCTTCGGAAGTTTCATCATGCAAATATATGAAGCATACCTGACGGCGTCATTTTATTATTTTAAAATTGTTCTATGATTATCAGAAAAGTTTCAACCCAAATTCCTGGTGAGAGTTCGGTTGAATTAAAAAAAAAACTTGAATGAGGGGATGGACAAATATTGAACTGCAGGTCAAGAATTATGTCGATGATGTAATGGCAAGGATATAGGGGTCAACTTCAACCGGTTCCCAAAAGAAGCTTCAAGTTTTACGCAATTTGCCACGACCTGTAATTTATTGATATAATTATATCATTTCTCGCCGAGAGGCACGAGTATTCTTTCTGAATGACTTCATGAATGGGTCATGCTATAGCGTTTTTTGTTGTTGTCCCAAAAAATATAATTCATGCCCATTATACTTTATGAATTTGACAGGATTTTGACAGTCGCTCGTCTTGGACACCAGAACCAAGACAAAGTGAATGTGATGGATCCTGAGTTGGACTATTTCATTGACCAAGAGGACATAAGATTTCATCCTGGATACAGTCCATCAGCTGTAAGTTTTCCAATGAATTAATCCCTGAATGAGTATTTTCTTACTTTAAAATTGGAAAAAAAAATTTCAAACTGTTGCTTATGCTTTTTTGAGTCACATCTCCAACTATAGAAATGCGTGAAATATTTTCTGAAATTACAGTTTTCTAGAAATTGGAGGCTTCGAATAAATACTTTGGGAGAGGCGCGGGAAAAACGCAGAATATTAACTGACGCTGAGATGATATTGATCTCACAGCTTTATTTTAAACTTGATAGATTTTAGTTGAAAACTGCATAATCTGCCCCGTAAATAAAGTCGCTTATATGTGTCCCAAGACGATTTGGAAAAGCGGGATTATAGAGAAGCTTTCGGATACTGTATTTACTTCTTATAAATGTATACCGAAGAAGCAAATCTGTCTTTTTAAAGAGAAAAATGTCTTTAAATCATGTATTTGTTTCTCGTAGGCATCCAAATACAACGACATAGCGTTGGTGAAACTGGTGCAAATTTCTCCCAACTTCAGAGGAGTGACGTTTTCAGTGAACGCTTTCCCTGCTTGCTTGTCGCAAATCAATCCACGAGATGTCGCCGCTGAAGGCGTGAAACCAACCGTCATCGGATGGGGAACTACGTCCTACTGTAAGCGGAAACTGTTCTTTTCTTTAAATTCAAGATACCTTTTCTTATATCGTTGTGATTTGTTACTGAAATACGCTAAGGAACTTAAAAGACAAGGATCTACCAGTCGTTTCACTAATAAACAACAAACGGCTACACGGCAACAACAGTCTTTCTGTTACAAGAACCGCGTAACTTTCTTTAAGCCACGACTTTGCTAATTATCCTAATCTTGCCGGTAATGGAGTGATGTGTGGGTTCAGCCCCGAGGGCAAGGATGCATGCCAAGTGAGTACCATACTTAAACACATTTATAAACTTTTGAGAGGACACCATACTTTTCTACAGAATAAAATCTTTGCAAACCTCGAACGCTGCCTATATAATTAAGGATAAGCCGCAGTAACTAAAAGTTGATAAATACGGTAATAACCTCTGTTGGTAAAACCTCAAGTGACCAAAAAAAAAAAGAGTAGGGAATAAGGTTTCGAGTTATAATAGGGAAGCAAGCATTTATTTGACAGAAAAGAAAAAATAACTACAGGAAATTGTAGTGGGTGATATTCTGGGCCTTGAATTTCCTCTTAAATGAGTTGACGGGATGCTAAACTTGGAGGCAAGGGTTCATTTTCCAAAACAGTCTTTCACTTACTTTCAAAACACGCCGTTTATACATTTTAATGCTTTTCTCTTTCCTGTGCCAAAAAAATAATAGCCAAAATGCATCCAAAAGGTTTTTGGGGTTTGAATTGGAAAGACTTTGGGTTATAGGGGGGTTTTTATTTGATTCTTCGTAAAGTAATTTAGCCAGGGACTCGAGGTTTCAGCATGACATACTAAGTCGAGGGAAGAAAATTTTTCCATCAGAAAAGAATCCCATTTGAAGTTTTTAAAGCGATTACCTTTCACTTTCTTGGGTTATTATTGCATATAATTTCAACCAAGCCCTTCGAGTTTCAATTTCTGTGAAATGCCGCGATCCAAAAATTAATTTGCGGCTTCATGTTCTCCTTTTGTCCTGCATAATTTCATCCTTCTATATTCGGGCTAAATGATTAATTTACAGTATTTAGCATTTTCCCCTCAAATGGTTGTTCAAAATAAAGATGCGGTGTTCAATGACTTTTGATGAAGACTGCAATCTGTACAATTAATTTTGTGTGTCTCGAGTAGTCGAATTTTCTTTGATGCCGGAAACTAATCGATCGAATATGATACAAAATCATGGAATGATGATAATGTTTGAGTGAATCATGATTTCCACCTTCTTTCTCTCTTTTGCTCTTGCGTGCCAAATCAGGGGGATTCCGGCGGAGGGTACATCACGCTAAACTGCTTTAGGACGCTTATACTGCAGCGACCCTAGCAAAGAAGGCCATAACCCACGCCCTTTCAGCCATAAATGTGTCTGCACGTGGTGAAGAACAGCACCTATCTTCTCTTGCACACCGGGGTGAATGAAGTCAGTGCGGACATCGCACGGGGTCGGCGATCGCCTCAGGGCTCCTTCGTGTACCCCGGCTTGACGAAGCAATTCTCAAATTTCCTCACCAACGGGAACCGATAATAAATGTGGCCAATATAACAACGACGCATTTCCCGAAAGTTCAGTGATACTCCTATTTATATTTGATAATATCGTTCGTTTCATTTTCTTGGACATCCCGAAATATGATCTACAGCGCATTTCAAAATATTTATTCACTAACGACCCGACTCGATAAACCCTCATAAATACTGTATTATGAACTGCAGAAGCATAGATCAGATGCTGCAATAAACGAAAGTATTTTTAAATTGACAAGATGCTACCTTTTTATAAAGACATTTGAAGACTTTCTGATGCCTTACTTACTTTCTTAACTGGTTCTATTAGTTGAAGTCCTAATACCTATTAACCACAAAATGAGATTCCTTATATTCCCATCTAGAAATTTAGGGATAAGCGAAAGTTTGCCCTTGCTCTCTCGGATGTAAATTTCTTTCGCAGAAGGAAGAAAAATTTAGAAATGAGTTCCAAAATTAATATTCTTGTAATAGTAAATTAATCCAAAATTAATCCCAATACAGTACATTTGAATTGACTTGAAGCCTCTATAAATTTAATTTACGTCATGATCAGAAATTAAATTAATTCTTTTTCAGCACTACATAATCTTAATATAAAATGTTCACAGCTTCAGACCAAATTCTGCTTCCATGCGTCATTTTTATTTCTTGAGTCTTGACAGAAAAATCCGAGTTCAACGTACAGTACATTAATGTAAGCTTTTGTGACTAATTGCGTTGATAATTACATTTTTAGACAGTTTTTGGACAAAAAAGAAATTACCGTAATGACATTTCCTCGTCTTCGTTGAGCAATAAAGCTATCATCGAACTCAAGAAAATAATTCCATTTTCAAAAAATTTCCTTTGACAATCCTTGCGGTTTGAAGGGGCTCCTTTCTGTTTCAAATTATCCGCAAAATGTGAAGTCATTCTCCAAAATAAATGTAGGAAAAGATGGCGATCGCAAAATTATGTCATCGAACCCCTCTCGGATTTAATTTATATTGTGACGTACCCGGTGAACAATTGAGTGAATTTGAAATGTGAGTTTCCATGCAAATTACGTTCGGTCCCCGGATGATTTACCTCCTTTTATTATTCAGGAATCACCTTTTTATTTGCTTTGCAAAGAAGGCCAAGAGAAAAATGAAGCTGTGCTTTTTTCAAATTCAATGCATTTTTTTTTAGCGAAAACTTCATGACAAGCGAATAATCATTGATTCAATTTATAATTTACTCAAGAAGTACACAGTATCTTACAGATTGTGATGTCGCGAAATTTGGCAAAGAAACACGCTGTATTTATTCCGATGCATTTTAAGGTTTCACGAGACTTTAAATTGAACTAG